TAGCAAAGTGACAAAGTGTCCTGCGGTCAGTAGAAGTCCAAATTTGACATTCTTGTTGGAAATCATGGGCGTCGTGTCCTCCGGGCTGAAGAGGAGAAAGACCACCCCTCCTGTTATCAGCGTTCAGTTCAAAAGCCAGCATCTCTGATGGTATGGGGATGCATTAGTGCATATGGTGTGGGACACTTGCATGTTTTAAAAACCATGATTGCTGAAAGGTATATAAAGGTTTTAGAGCAACATATGCTCCCCTCCAGACGACATCTATTCCAGGGAAGGCCTTGTGTATTTCAGCAGGACAATGCAAAACCACATACTGCAACTATTACAACAGCATGGCTTCGTAGAAGAAGAGTCTGTGTGCTGAACTGGCCTGCCTGCAGTCCTGATCTTTCACCAATTGAGAACATTTGGCGCATAATTAAACGAAAAGTCCGTCAAAGGAGACCCAAAACTCTCCAGCAGCTGGAAGCCTGTATTAAACAAGAGTGGGATCAAATTCCAATGGCTAAACTCAGGAAACTTGTCTCCTCAATGCCCAGACACCTCCACTCTGTGTGAAAAAGAAGAGGGGATGTTACACCATGGTAAACAGGCCCCTGTCCCAACTTTTTTGAGAGCTGTAGCGGCCATCAAATTTGAAATGAGCTCATTTTGTGGATAAAATTGGAAAATTTCTCAGTTTCAACATTTGCTATGTTATCTCTGTTCTATTGTGAATAAAATGCTGGCTGGTGTGATTTGAAAGTCATTGCATTCTGATTTTATTCAAAATTTACACTTTGTCCCAACTATTTTGGAATTGGGGTTGTATATAACATACAGCAAACAGTCTGAACTACAACCTCCTTGTCATAGAATCCTCTTAAGTGCTAGAGCACAGAATTTCAAAAAAGTGCCACTGTCCAATGAATTATGGTGCTCACATTACAAAAGACATCATCGCAAATGTTTTTATCACTTACACTCATTCATAAAAATACTCAAACTTCCAGTTAAAGCATAGGCTTTTTTGTCCTTTTTTTAAATTTTATTACTTTGAAAGCAGGGCCTGGTCTTGTACCATGATGCACTGCAAATCTGTTAAAAAAAATACCTTCCCCCGCCACAGTGCCTTTGATCCGCGACAAAAGACCTCAACACTGTTCTGGCCACAAATTTTACAACAGGAGGGCATGAGGCTCTTGTGACCAGGGCCACACTTTTATAGAGCGTTCAGACAAATTTTATTAGGAACTTTGACTGCTTCTTCTTTTAAATCTAATTTCATACATTTTTCAAACCATCCAACCTTACATAACTATTTCACCTCTACAGCAGTTTTATTGCCATTTGATGTTCATTCAGTTTTAGACTGTTATTCTTTGGGGGTGTACTTTTTGAACCATACAGCGTAAAGTTCATTTAGATTTTGTTTTGTCAGCATCTTTTCAGCTTTGAAGTTACCCAAGGTAAATATGAAATAAAAGAGAGAGAGAAAAAAACAGCTCTGATGAAACAAAATACTTTAATTTGAAGACGCTGTAAAAACATTTTCATGGTCATGCGGCAGACTGGCTAATTGAGGCATCGAACCGAGTTTCGCACTGTTCGCGCCCCATTGTTCCGGGTAGAAGCCAGGCTAGAAAATAAGTATAAGTTGAACAAATTCACAAGTCATTCACTCAGAGTGAGGGTAAAAATCCTGAATATTATCAAAAGAAATACAGAGTGTATGTCACAAAAGGCTTCATTTGGTTGTCAGGGCTTTACATTATGCTCTAATGAAATTAAAGCATGCTTGTATAAACAACAATTGTACAAACATCTTAAAAACGTGCCATTCAAGAGATAATTTATCCTATGTTATCATGTTTGAAAGCATTCTCTTACTGCCTGTACGCAAAATGCCAGCCGCAAAATATCAATAATGCCTTTCAGTGCAAAAAACTGCAGATTTTCGAAGAAGACAAGGATGATCACTGTCTATGCGGCAATTAGAGTAGTGTGTTATGACATTGAGGAGGCTGCTTTGTGTGAATCTATACAAGAGGCAGCAGTCCATGACCAACAGCCTATCTCTGCAACTAAGTCGGGCATTCGCTCAGCATTTTTTGCAAATGATTTTTTTTCTCCCCGCACATAGGAAAAAAGAAAATCACTAGCATTAGCTTTTTTCTGCACTGGTCTTAAAATGTAGGGACAAAACCCCAAGGAGAACAATTGCTGGAGAAGTCATCTGAGATTTCTAACATAATCATGTCAAGACGCATTAAGCAACATTTTTAAGACTACTGTATATGGTATTTTTCTCCGCTTCCCCATGGATTCTAAAGGTCATTCGCAGAGAACACAAATTACCATAGCAATTATGACAGTATTGATCACGATAGCAATTCTGTATTTTGTAATTCTGTTGAGCATCCAAGGTTCATGGCCACTGTGATCCAATTTATCACATAAATACACATGAAATCACTGTCATGCAAATTCAACATCAGGATGTTTACCGGTGTCAAGACTTATAATAGTAACAACAAATTAGAATGCGTATGCTATGCTAATCAGGATGCTAGGGGAAAAAAAGAAAACAGAGACTACAATATTAAGGCCCATGGTCTCAAAAATCCATATGCTCCCAAATGCATTTCCGAAGAGATGCAGCCCTAAGAGTGGCAAAATAAAAATGTTTCTTAACATTTCTTTGGCCGCAAGTCATTATCTCTATTTGCAGTCAAACACGCAACCTCAATAGACAAAGGAAAAACCCTTAAAACAATGGGGCAAAATTAACAAGGAGTAGAAGGCTAAAAGGAAGCAGGAAAGCATGAAACACTGATTATTTGAAATTTTGTACACCAATGTTATTTTTCAGCAAAGAATTTTATCCTCTATACCTGGAAACCTTTAATCAAACAAACTCAAAATGTCACGTCCCATTCCCCATGTTAATTGTTTTTCCTGCACTCCAGCTGTCCGCATCAGTTTCGGTTTTGTTAATTGTTTCTCGTTATTCGATTATTGTCTCCTTCATTACCCAAACTTTAGTATTCCATTTCCATGCAATGCACACCTGTTTACAATCTGTTAATTGTCATCCTGAGTATTTAAGTTCCTGGTCTTTGTTACTTCCTTGCTGTATTGTTGCATTGCTTTGTTCAGTGTTTCATCTCTTCTGTCCACAATGTAAACTTCACAGGATAACAATTTCAAAGTGTTTGCAGTCCTGGCGAGTGGCTTCTTCCAAAGTTTCCAACACCCCAGTTCAAAGGTGAGCACCTCCCTGCGTGCTCTGGTTCATTCGGCTTGCCATCCTGGTAACTGACCTCAGACCAGACCATTTGACTACGCCTTGCCTGAACTCCCAATTACTCATGAGGAAAACTTGCTCTCTAAAACACATGCAATACACTCTCCACTACAGCATTCCAGACAGTAAAAAAACATCTCTTCAAAGTCAGGCTGAAGTTATCTCAATAAGAGCCAACAAATAGTTATTCCACACAACACTGTAACCTACGAGACTCTCAGCCCAGCTTTAACACACATGCCATACTGACAGCAGTGAGCTCAGCCAAAGAACGCCCTCTTCAAGAACACATTCTAATTTCAGCCATCCCTCAGCATTAAGACCTCCAGAGTGAAACGGGACTGTATATTTATTAAACAATACGAGAGCATGCATACAACATGCTGTTGTAACTTGGTTGCCTTTGTACATGTAAATAGGTTTCCTGACTTGGTCGCAAGTCTCTTCAGGAACAACCTTAAAAAAGCATGAATAGCTCCTGTGAAACTGACTGAACTAGATGAGGCAGTATGCAAAGTTTCTTGAAGAAGAGCAATACCATTCCCACAAATGTTTGTAATGTAAACATAAAACAAATATACAAATATGGCAGGGGTGTAGCCTGTAGCTAAGTGTTTAAGGTGTTTGACTGGGGTTTAACTGGTTTCAGCACCAGTGTAGCCACAATTAGATTCATGCATCAGTTGGGCCCCTAAGCAAGGCCCTTAACCCAACATTGCTCTAGAAGGTATTGGACTCTGCTAAGTCACTTTGGATGAAAAGTGCTTGGTAAATAACACATACGTAATGCCACACAAACAAATATTGTGGGGAGGATGTTGTCATGGATTTCAAAAAAGCATGACAAACACTTGGACTTTGTTGAAGAAATTGCAAGCCCATTGAGCTGAGGGAAGTTAATGTATTAAAATAAAGAGGACGTACTCACTGAATACATCTCCAAAAGGAAGAGCAAACAGCTTCCGTAAATACAATAAGGTCAGCAAATGCTTTAAAGCAGACTGTCTGAATGTTGTTTACATCCATATAGATTGAAATGCATGAGAATTACAGCCCTTTAAAATTGCGTCACTGTGCAAATATTGCCAAGCGTATAATCAAATAAATCCTCCTGGAGGGGTAAACAAAGTTGTACTATCCCATTACAAGAATTGAAAACTTTTGCCACTCCTCTGGATTACAACACAAAAGACAGAAATATGTTGACCCTAATAACAATAGTATGTTATGGAGTTCCACAGGGTTCAGTGCTAGGCCCTTTTTGTATATCAGGCGTGTACATTCTCATCTAAAAGTCATTTGTGGGTGCAGGCCATATTTAGCATTAACACACCTGGGTGTGCTTAGCAAGGTCTAGATGGGAGAGCATGATAAGTAAATCAGATAAATTGGCTGAGCCAGCTTGAGAACCAGCATCCAAATCAGCGTTTTGGATAAGACTGGACAGAGCTTTTGTGCACCACTCATACAAAATATCTTGGTGAGGATTTTTACAGATGCTGCTCGTCACTATTTTGCTTTGTACTGTTGTGCCTCTCCCCTGAATAAGGCTCTTGATAAACTGCAATGTGTCAAAACCTGCTACAGACTCAGTTTTTCTCTGCTAAAAATGCTCCAAATGAAATAAATAATGAAATAATGAAAAAGCCCAATTGATGGTGTTTTCATATAGAAAGCACTAATTATCAAACCAAAAATCAGCACTTTACACAGCACAGTGGCATAGTGGTTAGCACTGTTGCCTCGCAATAAGGAGATTCTGGATTCAAGCCCCAGCTGGCCAGATCCTCTCTGCATGGAGTTTGCGTGTTCTCCCAGTGTTTGTGTGGGTTTCCCCCACCCAAACACTCCAAACAGAGCCACTGACTAAGAATCTGGCTTTAGAACTGGAGTTGGCCCCTGGGCACTGCACTATGCCTGCCCACTACTCCTAAGTGACCAGGATGGGTCAAATACAGACGACAAATTACCCCTCGGGGTTCAATAAAGCATATCTTATCTTACTCCAATTGAATCTGTTCCTGCCAATAAATATGAAGGTTTAGCTTGTCTTGCTCATCAGTTTCCTCACAAGTTTCACTTAAAATGCCCAATAAAAAGACTTATGTTTAAGCAGTGTTTCTACTGCAAAAAGAGGCTAAAATCTTGCTTCTCTTGAAATGTCAGGCATAGTTTAATCAACTTCAGTTCAATTGGATATGCTTTAAATACAAATCAGTCAATATTTCCACAGCACTGCACTGTTTAATCAGTTACCTTTCCGCTGGCTCCTGAGTGTGGTGATCTACTTCGCATGAATTCACCCACCAACTGTCTCCTCATGACAAACACTGTGTACCAGTGGACCGGAGCCCAGACATTCATCACACGTTTGGGAACGCACACTTCTATTTGCCTACTGTGCTCAGCAGTTGGCTGGCCTGCTCTATCTATGTCTCAGCTTTGCCACTGATGTTTTTTTTCTTAACTTATTTTTAAGGTAATCTTAGGTATTCTTCAACCCATCCTTGCACAATTTTTGTCCAATTTTTTGTAGACCCAAGTAGTCAGTCAGTCAGGGCCCTGGGAATCATGCAAAGCCCCACTGTCAACAAGGTATGACAAAGAGGTAAAATAACACAGCATGATCAAAAACCATGTTTTTTGTTTTTGTTTTTTTTTTTTGCGATGAGGACTGGAAACATCCGTATTTTAGCACTTCATGGTGTCCAACCACTGTAGTTCTTTGGATGACATACAAGTACTAACTCCTGAAAATTCTCTTTAATTTTTCCAAGTTTACTAATAAGTCCTTGGAGGGCAAATCTCCAAGTTGAGAGAAAATCTTTTTTCTCATGTTTTGATTGGATTTTCAAAAAATTAGATTCAGCCAATGAATACTTAAAGGAGTAAGTTAACAATGACATAAATAGTTCTGATACTTCAGAACACACAAATGCACTTTTACATGAGGAGACTGTACAGAACTAATTCCCAGGAAGATGTGAATAAATCAACGCATTTTGAATAACTTTTTTGGGGGTGGGGGAATAGTGGGGGTTGGGCATATCAGACGGGAAAAAGCCATAAACTACATGAAACTTTGTATTTTGAGTGAGGCGCAGCAGTTGCGAACACATATAGCGCACCTCAGCATGGGCAATGTAAACCAGTCATAATGCGATGCATAACACTGCCCAGAAATCTCGGAGTTGCTCCGTCAATCTAGTCACCTGGAACCGTCACACCACCGCAGCAAGAATGCAGTGTGCAGTGGGAATACCACGTACTTCGCAATGAAGAGCACGCAAGAGAAATAAATGCTCATATCAAGCGCGTGCGGACCGGAGAGACAGCGTCAAACAAGTCATGCAATACCTACAATGTCCTCAAGGTGGATCTTTTTTTTTTTTTTTATATAGTGCACCCCATTTCAGATAATTTTATGCTATTACTTCTGAGTGAATTGACCGCTTGTCGAAGTGGTGATTTGTTGGCATTCTATAAATATTAATACTTTATAAATAGAGTTTGGGTGACCTAACTTCAAACGTGCTAGCAAGCACTAACGAAAATAGGGGTTTTCATGAGTAAAGCAATTTCTTCTGGCTTCGGTAGTTCACAACACTTCACACGCGGTGCATTTTGAGAAATCCCAAATAAATGTCTAACTACCAAACGTCGCACCACAGCCTGCCAGTTACTTTAGCAAGTTGTGAATGTATGTCCTCAATGCACCACCAAAATTCTATTAAAATATTCCTAATGTTTAAGTTCATTCGCGTGAACCAAAGGTAATATAGACGCAGAAACAGCAAATGAGCCGCTACGCACTTCAGTCAGTGCATCGCCCACAGGAATGATTGCCGGCGGACAGGATGCCAAGCGTCTCCAAAAGGATGCGAAACACCGAGCAGCCTTTGCCTCAGCATACAAATGCGCCACATACCACCTGCGATGTTTTTTTTTTTTTTCCAAACTTAATTAACCAAAAACGAATTCATGTTATATTCCACTCAGGTCGTAAAATGTGCGGTCGGGCAGCCTAAATTTTGCACCACCTCCGTAATATTTCAATCCACAATGATTGTAACTGCAGGCGTGGGGTTTTCCGCGAGAAGAAACTGAATTGGGCTCTTGCTAGGTGGCATCAGGACCTCTTTGAAAGGAATACACAAGCACATCACAATAACTGTTCGCTGGAGGGGAAAAGTGAATTTTGCAGGGTCCTACCTGATAACTGCTGTATCACCCTGGCGAATGGTTATGTTGTCGGTGGTTCGCTGCATATCCACACTTCGGACAGGGAGCCCTGTAGGAATAAGACACAGTAGTCTGAATAGGGCACCCTGAATCTGCCTTCGAATGGATCTCCTTCCGACCATCATCGTGCGCGTCGACGGAAAAACGATGTACAGTGGTAGATCCAAGAAAAGTATCTGCACTTTGCGAAGAGATCTCGAAGTCCGGTTCCGATGCTGCCAGCTACTCCACAACAATAAAGGTGCAAGGAATTATCTCGCAGAAGACGACAAACACCTAAAAACTAACGGCTTGAATAAAAAGATAGATTCCGAAACCATGAGCAAACAGCGTATCGCAGCAGTGACCCGCTCCAATGTGAGCACTCGTGAGAGATTAGTGGAGCTCTGTTCTAGAGAGTGTGAGAGAATTCAGCTCTCTATCCCCCTCCCGCTCTCCCGCTCTCTCTCTCTCTCTCTCTCTCAACTATACATACGTCCTGCTGCCCCCCTTCTTGAAAATCTGATACTCCCTCATTGGTTGTCACGACAACAGCACCATCTGAGGTCCCCTTTCTACCAAACAGAACCGTGGCTGAAGACTCGGGGAACAAGATACTGTTATTCTCATCATTTGCGCGGTCGACGCCGTAACAGATTTTATATCAGCATCCTTAGATGAAGTACTATCAACCTCACACGAAGTATCAGCCTGTAAAACGACAACTGGCTAGTGTAAACGACTAAGGAAACAGAAACCGCAAATTGTCAATAACTGCTGAAGTGGGATGTGCAACAGACACCAAGTTATCCGTCGCCCACTTCACACACCCAGAGAGATAAGCGTAGGCTATAACAGCCACGTTCTCACTGTGGAAGCTGTCCAATTTGAGAGCGAAATTTCCGGATTCTCAGCCTATTTAATTACACCGCCTTTTAACTACTGGTTTTATCGGATTTAACTTGATGTTTTCTGCATATCAAAGGGATTTCAGATGGCGTCTTTGTGACGGGGCGTTCATAACTTAAGGACTACCTCCGGCAGCTGCTCAACTATGGAAGCTTGACGAAATGCATCAATTCAACGTCACTTTCTGCGCGTTTTAGCGACTCGAGGAAGGTGTCTTGCACTATGAAATTTTTTCCCTACTTGATGTTTCAGGAAAATTACGGCCAAATCCTCTGGGGTTCCCAAAATATTGGAAATAACTCTGAGAAATGGCTTTGACTTTGAATGATCGCAACCACAGTTACAAAAACATTAAAATAGCCAGCACGGGTGACTTCTGTTAATTTGAATGCCAGTGTAATTTTCATCACACGCCTGCTTATTGGTCACTAAACAGCAGCACTTTATACTTTGTATGCAAGGCAAGATGGCGGTGCTAACGGAGTTCCGAAAGGGGCCAAATGGCAGGTTTAAAGTGATTCGGCGATAAGTCTCATGTAACCACCCTGAAAAGCAGGAAGCACAAAAAAGAACTGAGGTCCTGAGTCAAAACCCTTGAGCGGGGACAAACTGACACTGAGTAGAATAGTCGCTAATAACAGTGAAACTACAGCTCAAATATTGCCAGAGAATTAAATGAATCAATTTCTGTACCATTTTCAACAAAAACAGTAGCCTATGTGAGCTTTGCAAAACTGGTATTTATGGGGCACCATTTGGGAACCATTTGTATTGAATGCTAACGCACAAAAAAACAACATGGTGTTAAAAACACATAACCTGAACCTCTGAGTAATGGAGGAAAGCAATATGGTCTCATGAATCAAGTTTACTCTTTTTTTAATGCACCTGGACAGGTTTATGATTGGATAAAGCAAAAGGAGGCATTCAGTCCATAGTGTTTGTTGCCAACTATGAAGTATGGTGCCGTCGGTGTAATGGTATGGGCGGCCATTTCATGGGACTCATTGAATCCAGTGATTGGTCTCCATTGATCTGTAACAGGCAAACAATATGAAACAATTTTACAAGACCAGGAGCACCTCATGGTCCAAATGCACAAACGCAATTCCTTCACAATATCCCCCTATTCCAATATAGTAATGCTCCTGTACACAGAGCTAAAATTGTTGAAGAATGGTGTCAAGACCACAAGGAAGACATCAAATGTCTTCAATTGCCTGCAGAATCACTAGATGGGGAGACTTTACCCCTTGAAGAATGGGCCAATATTTTACTTCACACAGTTCAGAAATTTATGATAGCATTCCTACATGAATGAAAATGTTTTTGATGGTAACTTATGCACCTGCTTGTTAGTCGTTACTATACATACTGTTCATTTTGGACACTTTCCCCGCCCTTTTGATGTTAAAAGTAGATATAAGAAAGTCACTGAAATGCATGGCTTGGTTTTTTTTTTTTCCTTAACTTTTTGTTTAATGCCTTGTGAGTCAGAAAAAAAAATTCATTTTCCATCAAGCCAGTATTTGAAACAGTGCTGAATTCTCTTGTCGATGCCAGAACATTTTCACCCCGGAGCATAAAACTGGGTATGATTACAATATTCAGTTCTTGATTTAACAGCCATTTGGAAGTTATTTATTTAATAAA